ACATTTCTTGTTGAATTCAAAAAATATGATATTTTCAAACCACATTTGCTGGCAAATTATTGAAAAAAATTTAGAAGACCTATTAACTCAAAAAATTGCAAAACACTAAGGTGTTAGCAGGTCTTCTATAAATCGAGTTCTTGTGTATTTTCAAAGATATGGTTGTATTGAAAAACTTCAATCGCTTTCAGAAAAACCACGTTCTTTAAACATGAATGATATAAATTATTTTTAAGTTTTAATGAAAGAAAAACCTGACTGATACTTGTATGAATTACAATCTGAGATGAAACTTTGGTTGAGACGTAACATTCTGTCTAACTTTTTATGTGGCTTTTCAAATCGGTCATAACATACTAAGGTAATAAATTCTAAATAATAAAATATTAATTATAGTTAATTTTAAAAAAAACTTATCAAATAAATATTTAAATATTTTGTATGTATTATATCTTACTTGTGAAAGGTTCTTTCATATTAATAGCTCCTGATTCAGGTTCCTTCATATTAATAGCTTCTGATTCAGGTTCCTTCATGTTAATAATATTCAATTCAGGATCTTTTTTACTATTAATTTCTGAATTAGTTGTAGTCACTTCATACAAGTCAGATAACTCAAAGGACGATAAAGATTTTAGAGAATCTTTAATTGTTAGTTCTACTTTTTCACTTTGATTGTATTGATTATAATTTTTAGTGCATTTTTGATACATATTAATTAAGTCTTAATTTTTTGGAATCTCGACTTTAGTTAAATTTTTAGTCTAATTGACGAATTCTTGACTTTTCTAATACTAGCACCTATTCGTGTAAAATATTTACTATAAAATCTAATTTGATATCCAAAACCTTTTTTAGATTTCTTGTCAAGTTTTGTTGGTTGACAAGAACAATCTTTTCCATAAACTTTCACACAAATTAAACATACTAAACATATTAGGCAAGCATTCCAACGAAATTTTAATAATGTTGACATTACTGCATTATAATAATAAAATTATTATTATTATTTTTTTTTAACGTCTACCCTTTTGGGAGCTAGGATTTTTTATTCAAGTATATATAGTGAAGGGTTCTCTAGGGACCCCCTACATTAGAGAGTACATACTAGCCACACGTACACTTTTGGTGTCTAATTTAAGTAGTCCGTCTATACATCATACAGGTTCTACACTAGATGCCGTACCTGTAACCCAACTATGGGTATTACCCGTTTAACCCCTCTGTAATGTAACTAAACCTGTATCACCAAGACATCTCCAGTACATTTGTCAGTCAAGAAGTCTCAGATGCTTTTATCCATTTCCTTAGAACTAATATAATAATAAAATTATTTGTAGAACAGGTATTATATTTATTGTAGTAATTTTTGAAATTGGAACAACGATGTAATTTAGACATAGATATTATACATATCAATATTATAGTAAATAAAAATTGAAATATATTTAATTTATGATGTAGACATTATATCAATATTACAGTAAATTAAAATTGAACAAATTCAAAAATATAATTTTATTGAATTTATTATGCTGAAAAAATTATTGGCTGAAAAATTTTCAGCTAATTTTTTTATAAATATCCCAGGAATAATAAAAACAGCTGTAAAAAAAAAAATAATAATAATCTGACCCACCGACCGGAATTTTGAAACACCAAGTTATACAAAATGAAAAATTAACTTTGCGTGGTCTTATGCATATGCATGTGAGTACTCAGGATATACAGGATTGAGTTATGATGACTGGAAGTAAACTGGGTTTTTAAATACACTACACTGTTATTTTAGTCATAGAGCCTGCAACTCATTTAGTGAAGGTCTATGCACTATTATGGTAGCCATAGAGCCTAAAACAAGGCCTTTGCATTGCTACCACAGTTGTGAAGCCTAACTGCCAAGGTTCTTGTATTGCTACTGCAGCCAATTGCTACAAAAGCACTACAGAAACAAAATCCTTGTACTACTGCAGCCTCAGAGCCTAATCACTACAAAAACAAAATCATTGTACTACTGCAGCAGCTGCAGAACTTCATAGTTACAAAAATAAAAAATAAAACAAACCCAGGTTCTTACACACTACTGCCTAACATTAACCTTGTCATACAAGTTAACCATTAAGTATTTAAACTAAGCTTTTTTTTTACTAAAAACATCCCTCTTAAATATACTACATTACATCTTTCTCCCTCTGTTCTGCTGATCTGATTCACGCTTGAAGCCATATGAAAATACACCTTTATTTTAGTACTAATTTGTTAATATTCATATCTGTTCACTACTTAATAATATAAACTTAACCAATAAAAACCTGATCTAACAAGACCAACACAGCAACCCATAAAAAATCAATCTAAACATGTGATCCATAAAGTCATCTGATCTAGCAATTTGATGACTAGCTACAAATTATTAAAAGATTAAATTATTTTTGTCAAGAACATCTTATCAATGATAATGATAGAAATTGAAAGTTATTAAACTTTACTATCACCAGTATCACTAGTATCACCAGTACCACCAGTATCACCAGTATCACCAGTATTACTAGCACTATCAGTACTACCAGCATCACTAGTATCACTAGCACTACCAGTATTATCAGCATCACCAGTATCACCAATACTACTAGTAACACCAGTATCACCAATGTTGATTAGTGATTAGTGATTGGTAAAAAGTGGTGCACCATTAGAATTTTAATTTACCTGCAACCTAGTATAGAACAATTATTTCTATTTTGATATTAGATAATCTAGTAATACTATTATATTTTATGTATTTCACTCTAAAATAGATGAATTCTTCAGTTTTTTTGAACTATGATTTACATTGATGAGAAACACATATAGGAATGCTTGTTATATCAAATTTATATTCAGGCTTTCTAGTATTGATATACAACAGTTAGATATTTCTCAGAATTTTCTACTAGATATTTACAAGAAATAAATATGATATCTTCAGGACTGAACAATTGAAGTGATTCATTTAAAAAAAAAAAATACTTCTATCTAATAGCATGTGAATTCTGACTAGAAAGTTTATATTTGGTTACCTCATATAAATGCAAATAATTATTCTTTGCTAAAATAATAACAATAAGAAGAAAATATAGGATAGCATATTTTCTTATGAATTTCTGTAAACTTGTATTTAAAAAAAAAATTGTACTATTGAGATTTGATCTTTATATAAAACAGCCTCAAATTTTTTTCTAATAATATATTAATAAGTTATAATATCAAATAATAAATATATTATTAACCTATTTTTTTACAAATCACTAACTCTTCTCAATGATCACTTGTACCAAATTCTCTCTAAAAATAATCACTCTATTCTCTAAATTCTACTAAGTAAACCTACTTTGGCCATCTAAGTAAAACTGTTTTACAGTAAATTTTACTTCTATCGACCAAAACTCAAAATTCTATTAATTGGTGATTCACCACTCAACCAGAGAGAGCTCATAGTATAACGTGATGTAGTTTACATATAGAAATTAGGGTTTTTGGAATGTAAGCTGCTTTTATCTAAAACCTTTTTTCGTACTAAGTTAATATTACTTTTGGGCCTCTAATTGAAGTTGTAGAGCTCATCAAGGCGAATCTAATAGTGGTTGAATCATCAAAATTGGCTTGGTAGATCACGAGATATCTTCGAAAAATGTTTTGCCAACTATGTAAAATTCTCTTTTTCGACAATAGTATCGCCAAGAGAATTTTACGTAGTTGGCGAAATATTTTTTGAAGATATCTTATGATTCACCAAGCCAATTTTGATGATTAGATTCATCTCAACAAGCTCTACAACTTCAATTAGAGGCCTAAAGGTAATTAACTTAATACGAAAAAAAGTTTTAGATAGAAGCAGCTCACATTCCAAAAACCCTAATTTCTATATATAAACTGTATCATGTTACACTATGAGCTCTCTGGTTGAGTGGCAAATCACCAATTAAGTTAATATTTAATGCTTAATAATACAAAAAGATTTAGCTTATCAACAGCTTCATTTTGATATATAATATACAAAAATAAACTAAAATTAACAAAACTATAACTAAAATACTTCTAAACTCTACTACAAAAATTTTATCTAATTTCTACAAAAAATTTTTCTTTTTTTTGGAAAACTTCTGCCTCTCTAGGATGTTTAAGATCTGCAAATCCACATTACTAATCAATATTACTAATTAATTTATATAATCCCAATATCTGTTTCATCTATTGTTATACAAAATTTAATTCTACTATTGTAGTTTTAGTAAATTTATACAAACTTTATTTTATTGATATACAAATTATACCATACACATAGTTACACCAAGCTACATTAACCACACTTATCATATATATTTAAATATTTGGTTACACAAGGTTATACAGGGTTATATAAAGTTATACAAGGTTACTATAAAGCTACACCAACCGCTTCTTAAATAACCTTTGTTATTTATACACCTTTAACCTTTAACTTATAAATTCTATACCCTAAAAAAACTTAGTAATTTTAACTATTATTTTAACTTTTTACTATTATTTTAACTCTTACAAAAAACTTAAAATAATTTCTACAATAATACCAAACATATACAAACCAACTATCAAATATACTTATTCTTTTAAAAATGTCTCAATATAGATTTTCTCACTATTTATTTAAACATAATCTAACTAGCTTAATTAACAATACTCTTAACTGGTTTCAAGCTTTTCTAATTAATATCAAAGCAAAAAAACAAACTCAATTTTCAACACCTCTTAGTATTCAAATTCTTGACTTTATTAAACCATTTCTTTTAAATTTCTATCTTGGTCAAATTATTCAACCTGAAGTTCTCAACTAATAAGCTATCAAAAGTAACTTTGATGATTTATTACAACATATAGCTTCTCAACAACCACAATTTCTTACTGACTTTATTCACCAAAATATAACTAATGACAACAATACCAATGTATCATCTAATTATCTTCTGTTTATTTTAAAAGATATCCTATCCAACTTTACTACTGTTCTTTTTACAAACTTAATTATAAAAAATATTTTATTCAACCTATTTTTTACCTTCTTATTCTATTTTAAAATATGCTCAAATTGCAATTAATCTTGCTTATCTTCACCTTTTTCTTCTAAATCAATACAAAACTATCAACTATATTAAATTCTTTGAAGATTTGGATCTTAAATCTATTTGTATGTTACTTCATTTTAATACTATATTTAACAATTCTGATCAACTACTTTTTAAAATCAAAAATGATACCAAATATAATATTCATATTACTTTTAATATTTCACCACAAAATTTTTTAAAACCCTTTTATATTCCTTCTTTTAAATCTTACTGCACAATATTTGACAAATAGTTTTTAAAATTTTTTAACTTGTACAAACAACAATTTCTATATATTAATTAACAAAAAGTCTATAACTTTATTAAATGTCAAATTATTATCTATTTTTCTAACAAACTCCAAAAAACTACTACCAAACTCCTACCAATTTTCTACTATTAACTCACTACAAGAAAGAACAAAAACTTCAATTAAGATATCACTATATCATATCTATACTTGTACAAGCAATATATGTACTACTCTTTCTAATGATATCTCTCATACTTTTAAATTTTTAACTTCATTTTATTTTCATAACTTATTCAAAACCTACTTAAACTTTGTTATTTTTCAACCAAACCAACCTCTAACTACTACTTTTTCAAAACCTTTTCTATTTGAGTTTTTTAAAAAATTAGCTTACTCAACAGAACAACAATTATACAACTTAATAATACTCTCACAAATTCTAAATATAAATCTTTTTTTTATTATACTTACTTTAAACACTATTTAATAGCTGCTACTAAAAATGATAACATTAATTTTAGCTTTAAAAATACTCTTCAAAACACTTTTACTAAAACAACTAATCTATATACTCTTATTAAAATTATATTCTATTTTGATATTATACAATTTTTAAATTTTTCAATTTCTCAAATTAAATACAAATATAACCAATCTTACTTTTTATAAGCATTACAATATATTTATAAAAAACTTAAAACCCTCAAAATTTCTACTAACCTCTTATTTTCTTAATAGAAAATACCAGATGCTAAAACTATTAGAGCTGCTCTTCATCTAGTTAACACAAATCCTTTAGTTACTATATCTACTTGAATATTTATTTATTTTTTTTTTTTTTTTGGTGTTAAGGTGGCCTCTTGGCCGGCTCCTTTTATTCAGTTATAGTTAACTTTTACAATATGC